TGGAGCTTTCAGGCTAATCATTGATGGGGATGAGCACCAATCAAGAGGTGACATGAATTACATATTCCATAGTCTAGTTTTGTAAAAGATCGCAAGTTACGAATTGTCTTATGAAGGCAGAGACCTGGATAAGCAGCAGAAACAGCCCTCCCGGGAGTGACTGGGAGAGTTCGGATGCTCACAACGCCTTATACTCGGAGTGCTGTCCCCTTGACAGAATTCCCCACTTTAGTGTAACTGGTCTGAGGGGGTGATAGTGCATCGTTGTGCCAGCCACACCCCGTGAGTTACAGCATGTTAGGAGCATGTACAGCCTCTGTTCACAAATCACAGTACGAGCTCACACATCTCAAGTTAGGATAAGCAAGAGTGCCTTCGGGTGTTACCAAGATGTTCCAGGGAAGACAAATACAACCTAATTAAAAACTCCTGCCATGAGAGGCCCCCAAGTGTCTTAGTATTCCCAAACCACTCCAGTTCCCGCAATGGGGACCCAGGGGCTCCCGGGAATCACCGCTTAGGGTTTTTGTTTTTGTTTTAGCCAGAACACGTGTCACATTCACTCTGGACATTTTCATTAATGACTTCAAATCTTCACAGATTGATCTTAGAACCTGAACGTGACGGGGGTTTTGGGAATATTACATCGTCTAAGTCCGATGAGAGTCGTCTTGAGGTACTTCCCCGGGCTCGTTCTTCCAGCTAGCCATACAGAGCTTGCTCAGTGGGAACCTACCATGTTGTCTCTCAGACGGGTGTCTGTCTCCGCGTTGCCCTCCCTCCTCTCCTCTCCTCTCTCTCCGTGCCTAGTCCGCTGTCTTCCTACTACCTTCTGGCAGAATTCGTAACCACCCTCCATGTTTCCGCTTCAGTCCTGTGTCGTCTATGAGATCTTCCTGTATTCTCCCAGGCGGACTCAGACAGTCTTCCCTAGACTTTGGCTATACTATGACCTGGCTCCTCTAGTTGAACCAGAAATCCGTGCAGGGTATATGGTAAGTGCACTGAGGAGATAAACAGACCTCCTGACTCTATCTCCGTGAAGCACCTGCCTTGTCTAGCTTTGCGGCAGTTTCTGAAATCCTCTGGCTTGAGGACTTCCCCCTTGCTTGAATCCTTCCTCCCTTGTGGCATCTTTCCTCAGTCACCTCACGTGCTGGCCTTTTCCTGATGGCAAGGGGAACAGGAAAAGCCTTGCTGGTTATTAACTAGGACTGATCAGCTTCAGCTTGCTTCTCTTGAGTCTCCTTCCACATGGGAAAAATTGCCTTCCAGACTTCTTTCTTCCCCCTGCTCTTCAGTTTCTACTCCCTCTAAAATCATTTAGGCTCATAGCCATTCCTCACCACGCTCAGTTGTGTCCTTTCTGGTGGACTTTCTCACGATACACATTAAGCCCATCAAGGAGCTGGTGGCAGAGGATGTACTTTGTCTCATAGTAAATTCATGGGGATTAGAGTATGGTTAAGTGTTGAACCTAGAAGAATCTGCAGGAAGAATCGAGAACCCTTACGTGGAGGGGCAATTTTTCAGTTGTCCAATTCAAAGTAAGACATCTTTCTTTCCCCAAGGCTAAATAATAACTCATATTCTGGGTAATCTTTCCCAACTGGAAGCATCATTTAATAACAACCCAGCATCTTCCTGTCTCCACCCCCAAAGTGACCATCACAGACATAACCACGAACTTTGCATATTATAATGTACATTGATGCTAAAAGCCTCAGGTCCTCCATATATCCAATGCCATGGGATGTTTACCTGTCACTCACCTTACTCAGTCTTCAATCACCGCATCCAATGCCATGGGATGTTTACATCTCACTAACCTTACTCAGTCTTCACATCACCGTGAACAATAGAAACAGTCTGTTCAGTGCATAAAGAAATTAGAGATCATGAAACTAAAATAAAATGACCTATGTTCCTCTTATTATAACTCATATTCCAGATTTCCTGGAGCCTAGATCTTGGCAGACTCCATCAAATTGTATGCTGTATTTTAGTTACATGTATCTGGTTACATGTATGTCTATTCAATCAAAAATGCCTTCCTTCCTGTCTCCGACTGATTGAGCTTCCCCCACCCCTGGACAGACTAGGATTTTCACCTCCTTTGGTCAGTGTCTGCCTCTGCTCCCATACATATGAGTGTCCTGAGATGTTCAGACTCAGTAGACATTTTCAGCCGGATATTCCATTAGTCATGCAACCAAGACTCCTGTGAACCCTAGAAATTGTTGTCTAACTAGACAATCAAAAATCAGGTGGTATGGCAACTGAAAGAAAAATAAATGATTCATCTCTGCTCTAGCATTTTCCCCAAAGTAAAATAAGTTACTACAATTTCTCCAAGGCTAACACCAGGCTAACCGGTCAGAGCTGAAATCTGATCAGTGATTGAACGAGTGCTCTGGGCATCCTTTACCCAGGGTTCTCAGTCTTTCATAGCCACATTTATTTTCCTTTCCCATGTGAGATGATATCTCTGTGATGTAGGGTTGTGAACGGCTCTCTTGAACATTCTCTGAAGGGTTTTCCTTCTGCTTGTATTGATCGATACTGTACCTAGCCTTTATATTGACTCCTGGAAGGTAACTCCTTAGATTAGTACAAATTTGAACATAAAAACCTACTTTTAAAATATCAAGGAGATACTTTCCTCCCATCCATGGACTGAGCCTAAGCTACTGAACATTTATTGTTTGCTTTGCTTTGGTTTTTTTCCCTCAGTTTGTCGTGGGGAAAATTAACTATTTCAGCCCTGCAGGGACTTGGTCCTAATTGTCTGCCTCTAAGAATAAAGGGCCCTACCTGGTGCCCTATAGCACCATTTAAACAGCAGCCTTTAATTATGACTTTCAAACCGTCCTTTCCATCCCCCATCCCTGTCAGCTTCAGCCACAGTTCTTGTTCAGGGGTATGAGTGGCCTCAGCTTGCCTGCTGGGAATGACCTTTTCTTTTAAGTATGCAGCTTTAAAAGAATGTGCATTGGATATGTGCCATCTTCTAAGCCAGCCCAAGAAACACCTGCATTCCATGCAGGATTTTTGCCTGCCCTTTGTGAACGTCTTTGTATCCAAGCCAGTGTGTTCTGTATTGTCTCAAGTTCTCATCTAGAGACATTGGAGAGAAACTAAGCTGTGGGTAGACATGACACAGAACATCCAAGACAGCTTTGAGGATTCCTGGGACATTCATGCCAGGTGAATCAAGCCAGTGGCTTCTGTGGAGTCAAGTTGTGGCACCTTCTTTATATAAATGAAAGTCATTCTTACTGTGTTGATCCTTTCCAGTAAAGTTCTAGCTTGGAGAGTTTGGGGTCTTTTAACCTTAGATTCAGCTCAAGAGTCTGCAAACAAATATCACACCATGGTGACTTCATGTTGAGGATACCAGATGCCCCTGGGAGCTATGATGTTTCAACATTTTATGTTACTTGGATTTGAGATTAAACTTGGTTGTTCTTTTGGAAGCACTGGTAGTCTAATTCCAGGGTTAGTAAAAATGTATTTATGAACAAACCATAAGAGAATGCATTCAAGTTTTAGAAGCTATTTGCACCAATTATCCTCTGTGAATGATTAAAAATAAAACATGTATTTGCTTGCTATTCAGTATTTCATTTGGTGTTTCCATGTGTTTTATAGAGGGTAGTTTTCCACAGTGACACCTATCACAATATAGTCTGCCACTCATCTCCCATGTGAACATAAACCTCATGAAACAAATAGTGACAGGTGTCTAATCCACGACTGCTTCTCAACAGTGTGGTCTGGTGAGCAGTCACGTTCAATGAGTGCCAAATGAATGAATGGGTAAATTAGAAGGAGAGTTACCTTCGCTATGAAGTTTAATGATGTGAAGCTCCTATGTACACTGTAAATAAATCCATTCATGGCCTAATATCACTTGGAGACTGAGGGTGAGATGACCCATCTCCTTGCCTATACCATTTCATGATTTCTTCCAGGGCCCTCCCAGTTTCACTATATGCTATTTTACCTCAACGCAATGCCTCACGAATAAGTGCAGGGTGACACTTTTGCTAAGGAACAGTTCATCGCTCCCATAGTCTGTAAATGGACCCCCTACTCTTCAGCTGGGAATTCAATGACTTTCATGACCCATCCTTCATCATGTTGTATTTTCCTGTACTCTTCTGGATCACTTTGTTGCTAATACTAGAGTTGTCTTTCTTCACCAAACCCTCATCCCTGTCATCTTTGCTTCTTTGTGTTCTGAAGATAAGTCTTTTACACCTCAAAGGATGGGCACAGGTTAAAACACCGTCTCATCCAGGAAGGCTCCACCTCCCTCTCTCCACTAAGGACAGTGAGCAGAGTTGCCGCTGTTCTGATTACTGGGAACTGTACATAGGGCAGGTCTATTGGTTAATTTCTGTTGTCAACTTGACACAACCCAGAGTCACCTGAGAAGAGAAGACCTCAGCAAGGCATTGTGTAGACCAGGTTGGCCTGTAGGCATGCCTATGGGTAATTATCTTGCTTGTCCATTGATTTAGTCCACTGTGAAATGCACCATTTCCTAGTGTAAGAGTGAAAGAAGCTAGCTGAGCAGAAACAAGTATGGGTAGACCTGTTTCTCTTAAATCTTGACTGGGGGGGACTAGTTTACTATGACTAGCTACTTGAATTATTGCCTCAACTTACCCGAAATGATAGTCTGTAACCTGGAACTATAAGTTTAATAAACATTTTCTTCCACTGAAAGGTTTAGTCAGGGTGTTTCATCATGACAACAGAAATAAACTACAACAGCATCATTGTATGTATGTATGTACGTGTGTGTATATAGACAAGTATGTGGGTAAGCAACACATCCGGACATACACACACACAGACACACAGACAGACAGACAGACAGACAGACACACACACACACACACACACACACACACACAGAGAGAGAGAGAGAGAGAGAGAGAGAGAGAGAGAGAGAGAGAGAGAGAGAGAGAATAATTCTTTTGCTTTCCTAGGAAGTGATCTGGACTGTTCTCTGAGTGATGGTTGGAATTCTCAGAAGCCAATCACAGACACCCCAGAAGCCTCTTCTTCTGGCCATATCCCGTCTCACCATCTCAGAGAAAGCCCCCAGAATTCCTCTCTTCAGCCTCAAATGAAAGCATCAGGATACTTCCAAAAGAACATTTTGGTGCATTCAAGTGAGTCATTTTTATTAATCTTTGCCACACCCAAAGACTTCTTCTTTTCTTGCCACCTAGGAATGACATAACAATGACTAATATGCACTTGGGAACTGGCATCCATCTGCTTGAGGAAGGAGGAACCTAGACCCCAGCTGACCTGGTCGAGGCTCCTGCCTTTGAGTGTAGCCAGGAAGTCCTCAGCAGCCCTGAGTTTACAGTGCCTTATTTTTCAAGAACCTTGATGCCTGATGAGCACTGGGTTTGGATGCAGCTGAGAAGGCCACAGGCCTCGACTATTTGCTTCTTGATTTTTAGCTGTGTGCTTGACATACTCCAAAAGGAGGGGGACATTTGAAGAAGTAGGAGAAGAAAAACATGTCTTCCATTGCCCTGCCCCCAGGAGGGAAAGTGATACTGAGCTCTTGGTATATACCCTGGCGTGAGAAACGGAAGGAGCTCACCAGTGCATGGCTGACTCCAGTTTGTCAGTAGCACATTAATAACATTTTTTTTGTGCAGTCTCACATCCAGGGGAGAACGGCTGAGTTGGCTCTGTTGAACTTGCAGAGATCATCACCCATAAATTACAGCTCTGCCGGCCCCTGTAGGAGAAAATGTACTAGGCTCTATAAGCATGTTGCCAAACTCTATAAATATTTATACCTTGCATCTATAAAGAGAGATAATCTTACTTCTTACTTTGCAATGACTAAAATGACCGAAAAGGTTCAATGTGTCTTGTCCACACGGACACTCAACAGATTTGAGGTTATCACCGCAGGTGGCAGAGATCGAATGGAAATGACCCTGTCTTTATTTGCCTTTATAAACCATGAATGAATAGTGTCCCACTGAGCATCCCCCCAAAGACTCATGCATGTTCCCCATACATTATATTCCCACTGCAGCTGTTCAGGAAATGCTAACTGGTCTTTAAGCTCCCTGTGCAGGAGTTTCAATTTAAAAAAAAGCTTTGACTTCATAGTTCAGTGCTAACCTATCAACACCTACTGAGACTCAGCAGCCCCCTCTTCCAGGGAGCCTAGCCTTCACAGCTCTGCTTCCCAGAGCTCCTCTGCTTTGTGTCCAGGAGTTGCACCATTATTGCATGCTTTCCCGTGTTTCTCATTATTCCTTGAACCTAACTAAGGTCATGGTTGCCCTTGGGTCCCAGACTGACAATCCAGAACAAGTTCTCCCTGATGGTGGTGAAACAATTCCTAAGTGTATCAGTTTACTGTGCACATAAGAATACTAACATTGTACAGATGAATTAGTCTTTATGTTCACTGCAGAGAATGCGACCATGACAAATGCATGTTCTTGTTGTTATCTGTTGTACATGCTGTACCTAGATGGCCCCTACTCTTCATCAAGGCCCACTCTAAATGAGAATACCTCTGATGGGTCTCCTCTACCTCCTCTCGGTTGGTGGATGGAGTAAATTATTCTCCTATGATTTCAAGGCACTCTGCATGTATAACTTACCTGAAAATATTTATGTGGGCTCTGACTTGCTTGGCTATCTCCATCATATCCATTCTCTACATGTAAAACCTGAGTGAGAATTTTCTTCCATTGGTGCAAAAGATGCTAAGCACATTAGTCTGCATGCCATTGTTTGTATTAATCAGGGCTCTTGAGTTTTGGGGATAGAATTACTGACTTATACAAATAATTCCAAGCAGAGACCATTTTTCCAGTCATTGCCTTTCTTCCATGTTGGCGTTGTTCCTCAGAGCCCAAGGTGACACCCTGTGACTCTGCAAACACATACCTTTCAGATTTCCAATCTGTCAGAAGAGATTTTTTTTCATTTAGAGTTATGATATAAGTCCCAGAATTGTTACATCAGTTCTAGGAGGACTCCATTTTCTTGGCAAAAGCAGCCACTTTGTTGACGATTATGTGAGGTTCCAAAAGGCATTGACTGGATCAGATTCTGGTATGAAAAGTAAAAGAAGCCAGCTGCTGCACCTTCTAGCAGAAAATGTGACTCCCCACCAAGAATACGGCATTGCCTTCAAAACTAGGAAAAAAAATGGTGTGTAGAGGCAGATATTATTTTCAGTGGAGAATAGAGAAATGAAACAAAAGACTTAAAAATGGAAAAATGTTAAAATTAATATAAGGTGGTAAAGCGTGAGGACAGGGAGAGAGCATCTAAATGCTGGGAGAAGTTGGAGGAATCAAGGCCAGATTCCTGATGAGATAATTCAAAATAGGTACCAAGTCAATGGCCGCTGAAAGAGCAATGTCTGACAGGTTCAAAGTCACGCAACTCATCCCTTTGTCAAATTCAAAGACACACCAACTCACCTTAAGTGTGCACAGCCAGTGAGTGATCTTTGCCTCTGTCTCAAGCTGGATTTATTTTCCTAATTGAAATCTGGAGAGATGGAGAATTCAAATACACTTTAGATGGATGGTTGACATGCCACCGAACCCTCAATAATTTATTTAATTCACGGCATACATAAACCCTCCACCCCTTGGCTGACATAATTTACTACTGCTCCAGTTTGAATTGCCAGACTTCAGGATTCCACCAGCACTAGGGGCTCAGTGAGATTTGTAGCTACCTCTACCCCCATATCCATCATAAATCACAAAACTCTCACAGTTTTAAACACTCTGAGTTTTAAACAACTGCTGGTGTAAACTGTTTGTAAAAACAACTGTTGTAAAATTAACTCCTGAAGCATTTGGGGGAAATTGATTGGAAATCTGTTCATAGATTTTGTTTTAAGGCCTCATGTAGCATTCTTTAAATCAGCTCCGATTTCTTATAGGCTTTAATCTGAGACTCGGTCATGATTGGCATGACTCTCGTGGTTATATCTGCTTGAAAGCTTGTACTTCTTTCCACCATGATTTGACAGTGTTGAAATAGCTCAGCAATTGCAAAGTTTTGAAAGGGATATTTCAATATATCTATATCTATATCTATCTATCTATCTATCTATCTATCTATCTATCTATCTATCTATATGTCTTCTTGGTCTTTAGAGATTTCCAGTATGCAAAGTTGCAATTGTCTTTCCATGTCTCATTTCAGACAAGATATTATGTCCTGTTTTTAAATCTTGGTCCTGGCACCTCATGGCTGTATGATCTTGGACTATTGCATCGTGTCTCTCAATCTTGGTTTATTCATGTGCAAAACCCAGATAATGCTCCCTGCTTTGCACGGTTTGGGGGCTGATGAAATAAGCTAATGTATAAAAAGTATTTGTGAATAATAAATTGTAAGTGTTTTTGCTGTTGCTATGATTGCACAATAGTAATTATCCTCACTTTTTTTTAGAGTTCTGACTTTATCATAAACTCTACAAAGGCTTCCTCCAGTATCAAATCAAACAGCAAGGCTGAAGCATTTTGAGTTGCGTAGTCTCTTATTTTTCTGTAAGAGAGGAAATTTTATCCATTGACTGTGGAATTTTCTAGTCAATAGACCCACATAATGTGACACGATTTTTAAGAAAAGGTCTTCAAAATTTATGCATTACACATTATGCATATATGCACATGTCTGCATGAGTTTATATGCGCCATGCCTGTGCAGGTGCCCATTGAGGCCAGAAGCAGGCATCAGATCCTCTGGAACTAGATACGTGAGCTACCAAGTAGTTACTAGGCATGTTCCAGCTCCACTTGAAATGATTTTATCTTGTCATTGACAACCAATTGTTTCAACAGACATACATTTGAAAACTATGAAGTGGCTTAGGTCCTTTAAAATAGGAATTTTGTACTCCAGGATTATTAATCAGCAGTTCATGATCCATTTCTTTATCTTCCTGCAGAAGCCGGTCTGATGCACAAGGCCTCCTTTCAGGCAATCCTGCTCACAGTGTGCTTAATCATTTCTGCATGTGCAAGGTAAGTCTGGTTTTGCTTTCTTGCAACATTTCATAATCAATGGGGAGCTATAATTGATGGATGATTTCCTTCCCTCTTTCACAAGCCATCTTAAATAGCTCTCTAGCTAAGGCTTATCCATTTATTTGCCACGATAGTGCCTTTTATTCTTTACGTACCTCCCCTGTCCTCTACAGTAAATACAGAAGCCAGCGTACCTTACTTAGAAATGGATTTCCCCATGTGTTGTCTTCTGTTTAAGCAGTGACGGCAAAGAGAGTTACAATCTAAGCTCCCATTCGAGTGCATTCCGGAACACTTGAAGCCCCTCTCCCACTTTTCCTATTGTAGTCTTTATCCTAAAATATGGAAGAATCAAAAAGATATTCTCTAAAGGATGACAATATTAGTTCAGAGCTAGTGGAGTGCTGCATGGGAACACATAGCAGCCATGGGTGGCTTCAGAGGTGAAGAGAAAGTGATATTTATAAAGGGAGAAATAAAGAGAATTCTATCAAAGAGTTTGAAACAACAACCTTTGGCCACAGTGGTTAACAATAAAAATGATGTACTGAGGTTGAAGGGAAGTTGTTGGGCATATGTTCCTGTAGAAGTACTATGTATATAAGATTGTATTTGGCTGGTAGAAACTTTTGGTCCCGGGTAGGGCCTTTAGGAATAGTTACTGGCAGGCAGTTATGTGTAAAGACCCTTTGTTCATACTAGATTTATGGTTTTGTTGTTGGGATTGACACAAGTGGCTCTGTCTTACTCTGTCAACTTTCACACAACTGTTGGTTCCAGAGAAAGCAGCTTGGCATCTCAGGACACACAGCACTCAGTCCTGACTAGGGGTGTGCTAATGTGTCCCTCCTAATCTCTGTCTTCTTGCCATGCTTTCGTGCTCTGCCATTTCCTAAGATTCTAGGAAAATAATCAAGTCCCTTCAGCACTAAGTCTTTGTTCCCTCTGCCTGGTACAAATTTATTTCACGTAATCTAATTAACATGTGACCTCAATTCTTTTCTGAGTCGCTTCACATGCTCAATTAGAGGGACCTTTGCTGCAAGTGTGTGTAGACAGTATTATCCTTTCCTTTCCTTCAGAGCCCTTTCTACTCCTGACATATTACTATAGGTTCATTTATCCAAGTATCAATCATCCAGCTCTCCATATGAGAATGTGAGAAACTTGCATGCTTCAGCAATAAATGTGTTTACAGTACAGGCATGATGTCTTGAGTTCAACACCTAGAACCCACACTGGAAAGAGAAAAGCAAATCTTGAAATCCACATACATACACCATAAAATCATGTGCACATGTAAATCAAACAAAAGAGTTCACACACACACACACACACACACACACACACACACACACACACACACGATAAAATTTGAAGTATCTCTTAAAAAATATGAGCACTTCAGAAGGAACACCAATGCATTGTGCTCACTTCTGTGTCCTCAATGACAAAAGTTCATTGGCATTTTTAATTGAGCGGATGAAACAAATATGAACAGTGGAGTCCTAAAAGCTTCACAGGCTTTGGACTCAGGTGGAAAGATGCTACATGCTCTCAATTCCTGCATCCTGAGGGCCAAATGCCTCCATATTGCTCAGGAAGGTTAAATTTTGTAATACCAGCTCCTAGATCCTTCCACTTGAGATATGAATTTAGGCCTAGTGAGAATTGGTATTTTAAAACGAGCCTCCCACTTAATTATGAGCTTTGAGAAACGTTTTGGATCACAATGGGACCAAAAGAACAAAAGGAGGAGACTCTCTGGCTAAAAATAGATTGTAACGTTCTTCATTACATACCCAGAGTTGGAAACAGATAATGTGCCTTAGTACAATGATGGCTGGAAGAAATTATTCAGAGCCATCATAGTCAGCGTTCCTTGAACTTCGTGTGTTCCAAACTTCCAAGTTGACCAGGAAAAACCCGTCTCATATTTGACAGGGCTGTCAGTGAAACATTCCTCATGGGACAATCTGTGTAGATACATCCATCCTTGAGAAGTAGAGCTTAACCCCATGTCGCTTCTGTGTGAGCTGTGTTTAGAAACTAATTTCCAAAGGAAGAGAGGAGAAATGGTGTCTACGCAGTGTGGTGACAAGAGCTAGTTGACACCATGACCTCCGGTGATCAACATCAATGAGAATTGTATGTGCCCTTGGCAGGGTGCAGGAAGAGCAGAACTTTGTAGGCAGAGGTTCTTTCTAGCCTGGTCCCACTGCCCTTCAGCCCCAAATAAACACACAGGCATTATATGAATTATAAAATTGTTGGCCAATGGCTAGGTCAGCTCTCTCTCAATTATTAACCCATAACTATTAATCTATGTATTTCTACATGGCCTTATCTTACCAGAGAACACCCAGCGCATCCCATCTTCTAGGTCTACACATGGTGTATCTCCCTGGTAGACCATCTACCTCCTTTCCCCAGAATTCTCCTCATCTCAAAGCCTTGCCTATACTTTCTGTCTGGCTAGTGGCCAGTATTTTATTCATCAACCAATAAAAGAAACATATATACAGAAGGACATTCCCCATCAGAGCTTTTCTTCTATATCCCAATTCCCAGTCCTGCCATGAGAAAAATAAGGCTAAAAATCCAAACCAAGGACATTTAGCACATTGGAAGTCCCCCTCAAAGTCAGTAAGGTCATCATGACCATGCTGTCATATCTCAGAGGAGACTATGTGTAATGTGTTTTCTGGATGGGATCCTGGAACAGAAAAGGGCCATTGGGTGAAAACTGGAAAATCCAAACTTAAACATTTACAGATATCTGTATATAGTCAAGGATTTTTAAAATGGACTTTAATGCATTTATTCTTTGACAGGTTCATACATGTATATAACACATGTATGATCACATTCATCCCTTGTCCCTCTCTATCCACTCCCTACTTTACAGAATTTTCGTTTGTACTCTGGGAATGTAATTCAAGACTATGGTTTGTGTACTTCCCATTTTCTGTAAGGAACTCTTACCATCTTTTTGATTGGTTACTACTCGTGGTGTGTGTGTGTGTGTGTGTGTGTGTGTGTGTGTGTGTGTGTGCGCGCGCGTGCATGCGTGCGTGCGTGTGTGTGTGTGTGTGTGTGGTGTATGTGCGTGTGTGCGTGCGTGCGTGTGTGTGTGTGTGGTGTGTGGTGTGTGCGTGTGTGTGTGTGTGTGTGTGTGTGTGCGTGCATGCGTGCGTGTGTGTGTATGTGGTGTGTGGTGTGTGTGTGTGTGTGTGTGTGCTTCCTGTAACCCAGGCTGCTCTTTAAGTCTCTGTACAGCTGAGGCTGACTGTGTACTCTTGATGATGACCCCCAAGTGCTAGAATTACGGGCATATTCTATTGCACCTGGCTTTTGTCATTTATAGGAAAAGTCATTTATAGCATTTAAAACCAGCCAACATGTACACAGTTTACTTGAAGTCATGATGGTACAGCAACAAGGAATGTAGCTGTGAGCACAAAGTAAGCGAGAATGCAGTAGCATGTAACTGACAGTAACAGTAAGTTGCCATCATTTGTAAATTGACTCCTGATTTGAAAGAACGTGCACGTCTCTGTGAATTGATGAAAACAAGTTTGTTTGCAGGGCTGGCATTCACTTTCCCAGCTCAACCAAAAACCTTTAGTCACCTTAAATTTATGTTCCACTCATGCTTTTTATCCTAATCCGCAATCAGTAAATCTTATTTCTACCACAAAACACTTTCTGAATCATCATTTCTTAGTAGTTCCATTATTCTTTATATTTCTTTAGAAAACAATTAACAAGTAATTCAGACTCATCTTGTATTTTTCCTGTTCTAGCTTTAGTCATTTCCCTGAAATTTCCAAAATTTTTTTTATTATAGAACACTATGAAATCAGGGTGCCAAGTTTACTCATTAGTTTTGGAATGTCATTGCTTCTAGGGCATGTGTAGACAGGAATGAGAAATATCTCTGTGTATATAATAACCTTCCATACACAGGGGTGGAAATTATGTATATGTAAGCACACATAGTATCCCAAGTGCATTTATATTAATATATATAACCTTATCTCAATGCCACATGACTCATTCTAGGTTTCCCTGTCCAGATGAAATAAACAGTTTTAACAGACCCATAACCACTAGTGAAATAGAAGCAGTAATTAAAATCTCCAAACCAAAATAAGGTCAGGACTAGATGGATTCAGTGCAAAATTCTACCAGAACTTCAAAGAAAACTGACACCAATCATCCTTGAATTATACTACAAAATAGATACTGAAGGAACATTTCCAAATTTTGTATACAAAGCTACTATTACCCTGATACTAAAACCACACAAAGACATAACAACAATAACAACAAAAAAGAAATTGTAGACCAATATCCCGTCTAAACATAAATGCAAATATCCTCAATAATTTTTATGAGCACAAATTAAAGTTTATTCCGTGCTGCCCAATTCTATGAGATTTTTCATGTAAATGATTGATGTGTAAAATCATTCACTTCCCTAACATGCATTCCTACAGCAACAGTATATATTCCATTATGACCTGTCACTTTTTGTTGCTCAAAACTGTCCCATTGTGTTGTTGTATGACAGCCTGTTTATATAGCCACTGGTCAAAAACATCTTGTTTGCTTCAGTTTTTGACAGATTTAATAAAATCTATTCAAAGACAGAAGGCTTGAACTGAGTTGGATATGCACCAATGAACAGAATCATAGGGTAATACAGTAAGTCTGCCTTTAATTTTGAAATAAGTACCAAACTATTCCAAAATGTTTTCACCATTTTCATTCCCATTAACAACGATGGCCCCACAGCCTCTCTGTCACTTGTCATGGCCATTTAGGGACTTAACAATTCTGATAATTATGTAATCATTGCTCAGCATTGCAGTTCAAGCCACTCTGATAAATTAGTTTGCACCGTCTAATGACAAATGATATTGTATATTGCTTTGAATACTTATCTTCATATGCATATTTTCTTCCCTGAGATGTGGTGTATGTTCACATTTTCCACCTATTCCTGAAGGTTGTTTATTTTCTGGTTGTTGGGTTTTAGTTTTAAAATTATCATACAAAGCAATGGTGTTCATTATGGCATTTCATAGATATGCCATTATGCTTAGTTATTATTCAGCTGCCTTGTTGCTAAGGTTTGATTACTCTTATGTATTCTAGATAGGAGCCTGTTAGTAGATTTGTGATTTGCAGATGTTTTCTCCTGACTTTTCATTGTCTTTTCATTCTCTAAACACTGTTCTTCCTGGAGAAGAGCTTTTGTTATTTGATCTTCAGAAAGTTCAGTTACTCGTCTTTTTATTCAATGCGCTCTGTACTTTATATTGTACTTAGCAATTCATCGCCAAACGCAAGGACATACAGTTTTTATCTATGATTTCTTCTGGCAGGTTTATACTTCATGGTTTATAATGTTGTCTCTGACTCATTTTAATTTCAATGTTGTGTGAGATAAAATATATGTATGCTTGAGGTGGCCTGTTGGAGCCCATTCCCTATGAGGGGATACCATGCTCAGCCTTAACACAGGGAGCTCTTACCTGTTGGGAGGAGTGGATAGGGGGTTGGGCTGGGAGCAGAGGTGAGAGGTGTCCAGCGCTATCGCCTTGCCTGCAAGAATGATGCTCAACAACAGGATTCTTCTGCAGCTGTGTTTATTGCGCGACTCATTACAGCAAGTTGAGGGAAGACCCCGAGAAGGAAAAAGGGCTCTGCTTATCTAGAGGAGCTGTGTCCGTTACTGACAGTTGCAGAGGAGCTGTGTCCATTGCTGACAGTTGCAGCCTGCAACAGTCGTAACGGTCACCCCATGATGTGGACCGCGCACCCGCGCCTTGCTGGCTTATGGACAGGAAACCGGTGCCATCTTCGGGAATGGCACCGGTGGCTCTCTACAGAGAGGGAGCAGGAAGAGGGGTGGGAGGGAGAGCCTTGGTAGGAACCTAAAATGAAATTTTAAAAAATGATATAAACCAGAGGAAAAAGACGCATGCTTGAGGGTTCATTGTTTTGCTGTCAAATGTTCGATTCTTTAAAGGCTGTTTGTGGAGAGGATTATTTTTCTACTGAGGGGCTTTTTACATTTCTGATAGAAATCAGGTTACAGGGGCTGTGGAGATGGCTCAGAAGGTAAGAGCACTGACTGTTCTTCCAGAGATCCTGAGTTCAATTCCCAGCACCCACACGGCGGCTCACAGCCATCTGTAATGAGATGTGGCGCCCTCTTCTGTTGTGCAGGCACACATGCAGGCAGAACACTTTATATGCATGAAAAGTAAATCTTTTTTAAGAATCCATTTATGGGGCTATCAAGGAGGCTCGTCAGTTAAGAATGAATGCTCTTACAGAGGTCCCAAGTTCAGGTCCTAAAACCCACATTAGGTGACTCATCATAGCCTGTAACTTCGGCTACAGGGTGATCTCTCTGCTCCCCACCTGTGTGGACACTGAACTCACATGCATATGCTCTTCCTCTTACACACATAGACATACACATAATTAAAAGTAAAACTAAATCTTAAAACAAAACAAACAAAAAAAGAAACCCATTTAGCGTGTCCATGCAGTTCTAGTTCAGGGATTTCTGGTCTCTTTTGGTGCTCTACCGGTCTACCCTTCTGCTAAAACACAGTCTAGGCTTGATCTAAAAGAACACTGCATGTGTTGGAAATACAGGGCTAACAGGCTACAACTACACAGTCTTGGTTTTGTTTTTTTTTTTTTTCAGATGGTTTATGGGAGGAGAATTAGCCAGCATCTTTACCTGTGCATTGGTGATCACAACAGCTTGTAAGTAGCTTTTCCAAGATTGCTGCTGTAATTCTTGGAATTTATTCAAATCATGGTCATTTAAATAAAAAGTAAACATATATTTTTTCTCTTTTCTACCCAAGATGTTATGAAATCACTGTTTTTCACTCTTGCCAGCTATTTCAAAGCCACCGCCTGTGCTAAGTAAGTGCTGCGTCCCTGTCATCCCTGTCTGATCAAATATGACAGAATCTGGTATTTGTGGATGGTCTCTGCTGAGTGAGAGATAGTGAGGGCCCCATAGGGGAACAGCCCCCATCAGCATAGGAAGAATGTTTTCTTTTAGTGATAAAACCTAGTAATAGTCATAGAATTAATTATGCTTTATTCTCAAAAATAAATAGAATTATATTTTAGGGCCCCAAGACATTGGAAGTAATAGGAAAATCAGCGTCCTTTCCATTTTTTTTTTAAATGTCATTACAGATTCATAGCATTGCACTTTCTAAACATCTCATTTTAAGATGTCTTTGTGGTACACTTCCCAAATGCCTGGCAAAGTGCCCGTGAAATGATCTGTTATGAACTACAATCTCTCTCTGCCTTCTGAAATTCTCCTGATGAAAATTTCAGAGGGCTCCCAGGATCTGGGAGATGCTCAGAGAATTTAAAGCAGGCTTCTCTGTGGCATCCCTCTGCAAGACAGGCTGTGTTTCTGACCTTCACCATGGTCCTTGAGACCAGCTACCGTGGCTTCCAGTAGAGCAGGGTCTGCAAGTCAGATCAGTTTATTGGCCACCACACTTGCCTCCCCACGTCCTTATTTATGAAATGTTGGTCCTGACTCTAAAATAACAGTGGGAGGATTTATGTTGTTACAGCTCTAAGCAAGGCGGAGGATTTGCTGACACTTTGAGTGACATTTCCCATAATCCCCAGCCTTTCAGGTTTCCGAGGACAGCCATTGATACAACTAAGATTAGTTGAATCTCATAGTGCAATAATTGGGTGTTGGGGTCATCCCCTAAGTCCCTGATTTTTAACCCTTGCTATTTGCGTTTGCTTAAAATTCTTCTAAGGTAACTATTTACTTCCTACCTATGTTCTAGATAACTTTTTACATCTAAGTGGAGGTGCACAGGCTTGCCTTATCCAGCCCTACCTAGAGTTCTCCAGGGAGGATCAAGTATTTTTGATTAATCCTCCTTATTTTTGACAATTTCATTCATTCATAGGAGAATATATGTACATACATACATAATTTACACAATATACATAATGCATTTTATCCACTCTTACCCTATCTCAGCTCTTCTTCTGAAACCCTCCTTCCTACCAAGTGCCTCCCCAATTTTCATGTCTTTTCTTGTATCTGTGACCCACTGAGTTTAAATGAGCATAGGAGGGAGGTTATTTATTGGAGCATGAACAACTTATCAGCAACTACACCACTGAAGAAAGTGACACCCTTGCCCTAACCATCATTCACTGTCAATGGTCCCTAGGAAAAGGGTGTGGCCTTGGGAGCCCTTGCACCTCCGATGATGGAATGTTGTTGAGCCCAGTCTCATGCAAATCTTGTGCAGGAGACCACAACTGCAGTGAGGGGTGTGTCACACGTATTCTCTGTGCTACTCCCGATCACTAACTCTTACATGTAATGAGGTTCTTTGTCCCAGCTGATCCCAGCACCCTTCAGCCCCAAATGAACACATGGACACTATATTAGTTACACAACTGTTGATCTAGGGTTTCTTATTGGCTAGCTCTGTCTCAATTATTAACCCATTTCTATTAATCTATTTATTCCACGTGGGCTTGGCTTACCGGAGAATGCCTTGCACATCCTCTCTTCCTGGGCTCTGCGTGATGACTCCGTCTGCCTATGTTTCCCAGAATTCTCCTGATCTCCTAGTCCCACCTGTACTTAATGCCTGTCCAATCATCCAGTCAATGTTTAATTTATCAACCAATAAGAGAAACATATATATACAGAAGGACACCTCCCCCTCTCTCTCCTTCTCTGCCTGTCTCTCTGTCCCCCTCTTTTCTCTTCTGTTGCTCCTGTCCAGAGGCCAGTCTCCCCTGCCTCCCCCTTTCCCCATCCTCTTTCCCCTAATAAAAAGCCCCTCCACATGAGCTCTGTCACATAGGTCTTTCTATCACTTGCCAGTTTTCAAATTATAGTAATTTATTTGGCCTACAATTTTAGGGAAATCAAAGCAGGAATGCAAACCATCTAGTTACGTTGCATAATCAGTATAGTACAAAGAGACAAATGCATTCTTTCTCTTTTCAGCTAGTTATTTTTTTTTCACTCTTTATATAGTTAGGGCTTCCCTGCCTAGGTAATGTTGCTGCCCACAATGGACTGGGTCTTCTCACTTCAATGAACAGTTTTGACAATTCTCTACAGATATGCTGATCTACATAATTCCTCTACTGAGGCTCTTTTCTCAAGTGAGTAGTCATGTTAAAAGTTAAGAGCAACCAGAATACACATGTACTTTCCACTGTTAGATGGAAACTTTTCATTCATGCCAAAATGATGTATGAATCAACTTTATGGAGTTAAGGCATGGAAACTACAGCCATGTTACCCCTGAAGCCAGTGTTTCTCAACATGTAGGTTGTGATCCCTTTGAGATGTCTAATGACCTTTTCACAAAGGTCGAATATCAGATACCACACATATCAGAAATTTCACACAATTCATAACAGTAGCAAAATTACAGTTATGAAATAACAATGAAAATAATTTTATAGCTGGGGATGACCACAACATGAAGAACTGCATTAAAGGGCTAAAGCATCAGGAAGGTTGAGAACCACTATTCTAGGCTGTACTACTAGGTGGTACAGATGAAAAATATTATAAAATGGTAATTAGCCTATTTCTGTGGTGGGTTTCAAAGGTTAAAACCTGCCTGGTTTCAGAGGAAATGGCACTGAAGACTACCAGTGGGAAAATTGATGTAGAGTGAACCCAAGTTGAAGCACGACTCTTCCTCATGATTGTTCAGGGTCCTCTGTGTGTGTGTGTGTGTGTGTGTGTGTGTGTGTGTGTGTGTGTGAGAATATTCATTCATTTTCTCCTTCTCTAATCTAGGTTTGACAGCCCTTGAGGAATACTGGTGAAGAATGTCTTCAGTGTTAATGTCAGGAAACAGTAATTTGTAGTCTACTTGGAATGAACAAACCACTTTATTGGAACATTGTTGGTTGAAATGGAAAAGTGACAGAGCACAGAACATCTGGAGTAATGCCCCCTGTCATCTCTAAGGTGGTGGGCCTCTAACATTAATTTTAATTAGAGAATTCTGTGAGTGGCTTGGGACATGCATATCTCGGGTCCGCCAGAACACAGCTATGCTTTGCTGACCTATTTTAACTAAACAACGCAAACAGGCTTATATAGTTAATCTGTGTTGCACTGGAAGTAGGCAACGTTTGTGCATACGATATAATGCTGCATAAATTCATCCCCATGTGATGTGACGCCATCCACCTCGAAATGGCCATGCTGGCGCCGCGCCTTTGAACCTCCAGAACTTTGAGGCAGGGGAACCTTTTTTCATTACTAAGTATTCTGCCTTTGGTATGTCATTATAGTAATGGGAAACGAACTAAGACAGTAGCTAACTATTGATGAAAAATGAGCAGGAGCAGGATATATATATATATATATATATATATACATATATATATATATTCATATATATCATATATTCATATATATATGAATTCTTCTCTTGAATGATTTTCCTTACTAAGTTTTTTTTTAATTTCTGTGGAATAATGTTAATCTCTCAATCTATATTTCAAATTGTGATAAAATATACTACATTAAAGACTTCTTAAGAGCAAAATAAAGGAAAAATTAGAGTCTTTAACATAAGAAATTGGTAAAATCATATAACTGGCTGAAAACTTGTAGAAGATACTATTTTTACTCTCACCAAGAAATCTCGGATGTGGCCTGATGACGATGTTCTCCTCTATACCCTTTGGTGGAGAAAATTCTGTGTAGAGAACAATGTATTTTAAAGTGATAATGACAAATTAATCGTTTTTGTATCTGTGATGGTTAATATTCCCTGTCATCTTGTCTGCATGTAGCATCATCCCTGAGACACACCTGTAGATATGTCTATGTCATTGTTTCTAGAAAGGTTTGACTGAAGAGAGAAAACTCAGCCTGAACATGGGTACCAACACCTCATGGGCTGGTGTCCTGGACTGAATAAAAAAAGCAAGGGAGAAAGGGAGCTGAGATCCAGCCCCCCCCCCTCTCTCGGCTGCAGGCACAATGTGACGAGTTACTCAGGCTTCTGCCCCTTGCTTTCCTATCATGATGGGCCGTAGCCCTGTCAACTGAGTCAAATAAACCTTGCTTTTCTTAAGTTACTTTGGTTAGGTGCTTTGTCAAAGCAATAAGAAAAGTAACCAATATAATGTCAGTTTTTATTTCTGTATCTTTTGAATGAAATTATACTAATGAGTAAGCAGACTCATCATCAAATCACATATATGGTATGTGTGTCATATGATTTATATATCCATATACATTTTCAGGAATTTATTAACCTTGATTCTTTGGGTTTTTATTCCTTTTTTTTTTAATGTGTCTATTTGTGTTTTGACATTTTTTTCCTTTGCGGGGGAGTATTTGGTTTCAGAAACAGAATCTTTCACTATACATCCCAAAGATAGCCTAGAATTCAACATGTAACTCTGACTGGCCTTGAATTTAGGACAATCCTCCTGACCTAACCTTCTGAGTGCTGTGATGACAGCCAGGAGTCTTCAAGACCCACGGTGCAATGTCACCTCAAACTGTATGAATTTCCTGTGCATTGTATGAGATAGATGGCATACAGATATTTCTTCTAAACCCGTGGCTTGTGTTTTCCACTGTGTTGATCATCTCTTCAGCTGTGCGTACATTTTTAACTTAATATACTCCCATGTGTTTATTTTTATATTCTTGTTGCCTGAGATTTTGGTGTGGTGATAATTAAAAAAAAAATAAAATTCATTGCCAAAGCCAATATCAACAAGCTTTTTTGTTCTCCTGTTTTCCGTGTTTCTCAAGAGCTTACATTTAGGACTTCAACACAGTTTGAGTTGAGTATTATGTGTGGCCTGCTGCAGTTTGGATATGGAATGTCCCACAGGCTCACATGTTGAAGGTCTGGCTGACAGCTGATGACACAGTTGAGGAGTAGTAGGGGACTTTAGAAAGTAGACCCAGGGAAGGAATTTGTCACTGGAAATACCCCCTTGAAAGGTATGTATGGCCCCACTGCAGCGAGGGTCTGTGCTGATGTCCGATGCTCCTGCTCCCATCGGAGGCTGTGCAGGCACCCAAGAACAAAGGCCATACTGCTGCTGGGGGCAGAGGTGACATCAGACCCAGGTTCTGTTAAGAACCATGTTGGAGTCCATTGTGCTATCATGACTGGAGATGTGACCTGTAGTCCAGGTCCTGCATTGCCACCAATGGTGTCATGGAGGCCCAGGGTTGGGGCTGCAACCTGAGCCCTTGGTGGGGGCCGGGAGATCACACAGCTGCTGGAACCATTCCCATATGAATGCTCATTCCCTCCATCCAGACCCACCATGTTGCCCGGGCCTGAACTGCTGCCAAGACCATGTCTTGTTTCATGGTCCAGCTGCATCTGGGGTCTGTGTTGATGTCTGTGGCTAGTGGCACCTCAGGAGGCCTTACTAATAACGTGAGATAAAATCACAGGGCTATACTGAACCAGTCTGGCCCTTCACTGCACTGCGAAAGCTGGTCTTGCATCTTGCTACTCACTATAACAAGAGAAGTGGCCCCTACACTCAGGAGAGAGAGGCCGCACCCCTCACCACAAGCCAGGATGAACCTTCCCTGAGGGCATACATGAAGGGAATTTGACTCCTCACTGTTCACAAGGACAGCGGCCCCAGTGGCTCAGTCTGACCTGCCTGGCTAATACCCAGGTCCAAAACTGAGCCCTGGGTTGACCCACACTGACATCTGCCTCATCTAGCCCCAGCTCCTATTGGAGCTCATGATGGGACTGTTATGCAGAGTGATACCCACAAGGTCGTCAAGAATGAGCATATCCCAGAGGAGCTCCTGTGAAGATGCGATGAGGATGGTGTGCCAAGAACCAGAGGCTTTGAACCAGACCAGTGACTCATTGCAATGGACAGTTGCCAGTCAAGCTGATGGGACAACTGGGTGTACTATACGACACACGGGAGCCTCCAGTGTCGTCAGGAGAGATGAGGAGGTGATGGAGAGGCAGAAGAGAAGGAGAAGCAGGGATTTTGCTCTTTCAGGTACGGCTTTTCGTTCTGTTTGGTTTATTGGGTTTATTTCTTTTTCTTTTTCTGTATTGGTTCTTGCTTTTGTTTGACAGGTGTTTTGTCAAATGCCATTAGGTAAGGATTTGGTTTCATTTTTTTTTTAATTTAAATTAGAAACAAGCTTGTTTTACATGTCAATCCCAATTCCCTCTCCCTCCCTTTCTCTCCTGCCCCCCCCACCGGCTCACTATCCAATTCCCTTTCTGCTCCCCAGGGAGAGTGAGGCCTTCCATGGGGGGGAAATCTTCAAAGTCTGTAATATCATTTGGAGCAGGGACTAGGATCTCCCCTGTGTGTCTAAGCTGAGAGAGTATCCATAAATGTGGAATGGACTCCCAAAGGCCCCTAGATTTCCCAGGCCTCGTAACTGACATCCATATTCATGGGGTCTGGAAAACCCTATGCTGGTTTCCCAGATATCAGTCTGGGGTCCATGAGCTTCCCCTTGTTTGTCTAGTAGGGAAATAAAGTATTACATAAAACAAGAAGAATGTAATATAGCCACTGCTTGCTCAATGGAGGCCATAGTTCTGGATGTTAGATAAAATGATTAGGTCATTATTTAAACAAAAATATTCATTTCTCATAAATTTGCAGGCTCAGAATTCTGATCCCTCATCATTGGTGAGGGCAGTCTTCTTAGTGTTCAGATATCCATCTTCTTATCGTGTCCTCACATGGAAGAGAAAGGTGCAATGTCCCTTCCTCTTCCAATAAAATCACTGGGCTCATGCACAGAAGGCCACCTTCATGGTCTAGTTATTTTACAAAATCTACCTGTAAATGCCAACACACTGGGAAGGATGGTTTCAGCATATGAATTTGGATATGGACAAGACCACAAAAAAGCTATGATGCTCACTATAGTTATCTTGAATTGCCAACACCACCTAAAAGCATTGAGAAGAGAGGGATTGTCTACACTGTATTGGCCTTTGGGCATGTCTTCGTGGGATTATCATACTTAAGTTAATTGATGTAGAAAGGCCCTGCCCACCGTGGGTGATCCCATTCTCTCGGCAGCGAATCCCAAACTGTATCAGAGTGGAGAGATCAATGTGGGCACAAGCAAGCAAGCATGCCTGCATTCATTTCTTTTTGCTCCTGATATTCTGTGACTAGCTGTTTGAAGTTCCAGCCTTGACTCCCCAGCAATGACAGATTATAATTTAGGATGTAAGCTGAAACACATTCATTTCTCTACTGAGTCTCTTTTGGCCAGGGCAACAGAAATGAAACTAGAAAACGTGTGCCCAGCACTTGGAGAGATTCAGGTTTTGCTGAAGAGAGGACATTTTATTTAGGCGAGTCTTCTAAAGGTCTTTACTATAGCTATTACTTTGTTGCTCTAGAAACAACATATAATTTGTGGCCATTTATCTTATTCACCTATATAAAAATTTAATCAGTCACCGCACTTCATGGTCACCAGATAATCACCCCGTGCTTTCTAGAAATCCTGTCTCTCCAGGAACATGGGTCCAAAGACTGAAAAATGACCAAGTATGTAGTTTCAAGTATCAAATATGCTCCAGAGACAAGATAATACATATATAAATAAAAACATTTATTAAGAAAGCATTTACAAAACACAGTGTTTAAGTGATTCATGTTAATTCTTCTTCAGGGACACCGAGGACCCAGATATTGTGGCTCTCTTTAGGGGAAAGACAAGGCAACAATGTAAATGGAAGCTTTTCTCTGTCTCACCTATTCTATTCCCACTGGACATGTTTCCCTCCCATCAACTGGTCCCTACAGCCACTTATCAAATAGTCATCCTGAGGCTTAATATTAATTATAATTGTTCGACCAAAGGCTCAGGCATATTACTAACTAGCTTTCACAAGTAAATTAACTCACTTCTAAATTTTACCTTGAGGCTCATGGCTTGTTACCTCACATCTTGCTTCCCCTGACTCAATTTTCTTTCTCTCCATACCTGTTTGGATTTCCTGCCTGGTTCTATTCTGCCTGGCCATTGGCCAAATCAGCTTTATTCGACAGCTAATAAAAGCAACACAAGTTCAAAGCATGCAGAAGGATATCCCACATCACAACACACTGTGGAAGAAGCGTATAAAAATGAACATAGTTGTGAGAAGAAAGAACCACTGTGGATCATACCTTTTGCCTGAATCTGCCCTTGCAGGGGCAGCATTACATAATCTACCAAATATCCTGAAAGCCTCTCCATCAGGTTAATGCCGTGTGTCAACTTGGTTAGGCTATGGCGTCCAGTGGTTTCATCAATATTGGCCTCAACATGGCTGAGAAAATATTTTCAAATGTAAATAACATTTACA